AGATATATGAAAACAAGCGCATACTCATGGAGAAAAATTGCGGTCATTGGAAAAGGGGGCGTTGCACCTCCCATACAAACCGAATTTTTCATACTGCATATCTCTGGAAGTGTTCGTGGTAGAGTACTGAAACTTGGTATGGAGATATATGAAATCAATCACATGGTCATGATGAAAAATTGTGGCTACTGGAAAAAGGGGCTGGGCACTTCCATACAAATCGAATTTTTCATACTGCATACCTCTGGCAGTGTTCACCATAGAGTACTGGAATTTGGCGATTAGGGTGTAGTGTTTTAGTATGAAAAATCTAATATATAAAAATTTCGTGTCACGGTGTTTGTTTTCGAACTCCTCCGAAACGACTTGACCCATTTAAATGAGATTGTGAAATTTTGTGTATATTGGGTAGGTATGATAATAAGTTGTAAAGTATGTTTCATACCGCTAAGTGAAGGGGGCGTGGCACCTCCCATACAAACCGGATTTTTCATACTGCATAGCTTTGGAAGTGTTCATGGTAGAGTACTCGAACATGGTATGGAGATATATGAAATCAATCCCATGAAGAAAAATTCGGACTATTTGAAAAGGGCGTGCGCAGTGCGTGTGGTGTGGAGATATATGAGAGCAATCGCATACTCATGGAGATAAATTGTGGTTATCGGAAAAGCGTGGCACATCCCATACACATCGAATGTTTTCATGGAAGAGTACTGGAACTTGGTATGTACAAGATATAAAACGCGACTGGTCATGAAGAAAAGTTGGGGCTATTGGAAAAAGGGACGTGGCGCCTCCCATGGTAAATTACTCGAAAATGGTATAGAGATATATGAAATCAATCCCATGCTCTTAGAGAAAATTTCGGCTATTTTATAAGGGCGGCTTTCAAACGCACAACCTATTACGTATTCATATACACTTTTGCTATGTTATTTAGGATGACAATGGAAATATGCCTTCTGACAAACACGAAACGGTAATATTAGAAGATAAATGCGTCACAGAAAATCATGAACGTGAACTGTTGGTGAAAATGTTGGACCAAAATGTTTCTATACAAAAAATAATTTTGGGCTGCTAGTTTTCATATAAAAATTTAGGAATACTGTTAAGTTTTGTATGATCCAATGATTGAATCAAAACCAATTAATTAGTATGAGACCACCCGTGAGACACTACCTTTCCGATGGCGAAAGACTTATCGAAATGGGTTGACGTGGTCTAAAGTTGTGCGGTAACATACATTAAAAAAAAAAAAAATTCCGACGAATTGATAACCTTCTCCTTTTTTTGAACTCGGTTAAAATGTCGTACATGCAATCGGTTCTAATCACCAGTGTATATCTTTTAAGTTTCATGATTATATGTACTATATAGGAAAATTCATGTGTACGTACCCGAAAGACAATAGACCCTTCTCGACCTTAAAGCACTCAGACTTTGCCCAATTTCCGTACTGTATTTCATCCAACCCAAGCGAAGCCAAAGCATCACGCTCCCTTGGTATGTACTCATCATTAATGCTAGTTTTCTTCTCACGTTCTCTCTCACGCATTCTTTTTTCTTTGCGGCGCCTTGATCGCAAACCTGCAGAAGTACAGTTAATGATTTACACTTTTTAGTCCGAATATGCAAGGCAACAAATTTGGGCACGGAATAGTGAATAACGCATAAGATACTAAATAACGCAAACTTATAACTATGATATTTTTAAATATATTTTATGTACACACATACTCATATATACATATACTCAAAACTTTCTCATACTTACTTATGCCACCCTCTTCGTCGCTGTTCTCATTGGATGAGTCATCAGAATTTATTTCCATAACATCCTCGTGTCCATAGCGTTTAATTTGTGTGCGCCTTCTAGGTTCAGACAACACAAGATCTTCCGTTTCGTCACGCTCACAAGCATCCGGATCAATATCCGCTTTTTTGGCCCACTTTGTCCAGAAATCGGGATCGTCAATTTTAATGTCCGACCGATTACCCGAAGCAGCAAATGATGCTTTTGAGAAAGTTGATCCCCTTTCAGACTCCATAGTAATGACCTGTGTGCGTCGCTTTAAAATCGAATCGATGTCTTCTTCACAGAACTTATCTCCGGCGTTATCGTCGTCCATCACAGCACCATATGCACCCTTTCGCAGCAAATCTTCGATTTCTTTCTTCGAAAGCTGACGATTACTACCGTCCTTTGAGTTGTGTGTATTCATTGACTGCAACACTGCCTTGTCCAAGCCTAGTTTAAGTGAAGCCTTATCAAACATTTCTCGTTCGTATGTGTTTCGGCAAAGCAAGCGATAAATCTTCACCATTTTTCTCTGGCCGATACGATGGCAACGTGCCTGTGCTTGCAAATCGTTCTGTGGATTCCAGTCGGAATCATAAATTATAACTGTATCTGCTGCAGTCAAGTTGATGCCCAAACCACCAGCTTTGGTACACAACAAGAAAACAAATCGATCCGAACCGGGCTTGGAATAGCGATCGATAGCTTCCTGACGTAAATTTCCACGAATGCGGCCATCGATCCGTTCAAAGGGATATTTTCTGTACATTAAATAGTCTTCCAAGATGTCGAGGCAACGAACCATCTGACTAAAAATCAGCACGCGATGACCATTCGCTTTAAGTTTTGGCAGTAGTTTGTCAATCAACACCATTTTACCAGCTGATTGTATAAGATTTTTATAATACGATTCGGGATCATCGCCATGTTGCACACGAAAGTCATATTGTATTTGCTCTTCGGCCCCATTCAACAAATACGGATGTATGCAGCATTTACGCAGTTCCATCATTGTGTTCATTAGATTGGGTATGTTAGCCGAAGTTGTACCTTTCTTCAGGAAAGAAAAGTTCTGCTCCAAAATACCCCGATAGTATTTCTTTTGTATATTCGTCAGTTCTACCTCAATGATAGTTTCCTCCTTTGGAGCAAGCGATTTCTCTACATCGTCCTTGAGACGACGCAACATCATTGGTTTCAACAAAGCCTGCAGTTTATTAACTTCCTCTTCGGTCCGCAAACTTCCGAATTCCGACATAAACTCCTCGGGGCAAGAAAACTGATTCGGTTCCAGGAAGTTCAATAGCGAAAACAATTCACTGATGTTATTTTGCAATGGTGTGCCGGAGAGCAGCACACGATGCTCTAAATTCAATTGCCTCAGGCCTTCCAGCAATTTACAATTTCGATTCTTTAAACGATGGGCCTCATCGATGACGCATAAACGCCAATTGAATGACTTCAGATCCATGTGATCAGTCACAATCATTTCGAATGTCGTTATCAGTACGTTGAATTTTACTGGTTCTTTAAGTACTTTGCCACTTTCAGTTTTATAGTAGAATTCATAGTCCTGTATCATTTGTTTACTCGTTACCGATCCGTGGTATACGACGACGTTCATATTTGTCCAACTTTCAAACTCGCGCTGCCAATTTGGTATTGTTGATAACGGTGCAATCACGAGGAAGGGCCCACGAATGCCATACTCATACACCGAATGAACGAATGTTAAACTTTGTATAGTTTTTCCTAAACCCATCTCATCAGCTAATATACAATTGTGAGAGTTATACCACGAAAACTTAAGCCAATTCAAGCCCTCTAGTTGGTACGGGCGCAGCGTGTTGCCGCCTTTATAAAGTGGCGTGTTTTCAAGCTTCTTCCATTGCTCAGGATGTGGTCGCTTTTTATTTTTCCATTCAGCACGAAGCGGTAATTTATTAAAACGCATATACTGCTCAATTTTATCTGCATCTACGTCCTCCTCCAGCTCCCACGTGCAGTCTTCGTAGGGTAAAGATTTCCACTTCACTAGGTAATGTTTTGTGATTTCTCGCGTGTTTTCATCTGTGTGTACAGACATATCCAGAACGCGATCGACTTCTACGAAATCGGGATTGAAAGGTTCTTCCTCGATGCTATCAAAGATATTTATTTGCTGTGCTTGTTTCTGCTGGAAACGGCGAATTTTTGCAGTCACTCGGCGGTCTCCTTTAAAAAGTTCCTCTTCGGTGCGCCACTCACAGTGAAGGTAAGAGAAGTTACGATATTTTACGAAAAATTCTTCCACGTCGATGTATACAGGCTCCGGTTTCGTGAAGCTGGAATCAACGTCATTACTGTTTTTGTCTTTTTTTTCATTATTATTCTGGTTATAGCTTTTAACTTTGCTGTCTTCCTTTCTATCCTTATTATCGCCTTCAACTTTTTCTTCATTAATGGTAGTGTTCTTTTCAGATACAGAAACTCTAACCCCATCTATTGGATATATTCTGTTGTCTTCTGAAACCTTAACGGCAAGTTCATCCGCTTCAGCCTTAGATTCCACATCAACATCCATGTTCCGCACTTCCCCAATATTATCCTTTTCATTTTTTACTACTTTATCACTTTGTGTTTCTGTCAAATCGACAATTTTACTATCATCGCTTTTATTTATGACAGTGATTTTGAGGGAATCACTGATATTTTCATTGCCATTGCCTTTGCTTTCTACGCCATTAGAAGGCAAATTTTCTTCAGACTGATTTTTTGAGTCCACATTCTCATGTTCATTTGATTTTTGTGCGTCGTCGTTAAATTTGACAACGGACTTGGTTTGCTCATTCTTATCTGCATCCATTTTCACAGGCTCCTTTTCATGAGCCACATTTTCTTGAATACCCCCAGTTATTTCACTTTCCTTCTCCGCTTCATCCACCCCAATTTCCTTTTCTTCAGTACAATCCTTTTTATCTTCTACTATTTCTTCCGTTGCTCTTTTTTTATGAGCCACTTCTGACTTTTCGTCACTTTTGTGTACATTATCTTCGTTTTCCTTATTCTCCCTTTCGTGTTTTTTGGGTGGAGCAGGAGGCGGATCCGGTATCAACTCTCGTCTGCCCATACGAACGGCCAAAACATATTGTACCACCATGCTGTCCTCGTCGCCTGTATTAATATATACGTAGTTGGGTTTAGAAGATATCGGTGGCGGGGCTTCCAGCAATGATTTATCCTTTTCAGTGGCTGTGCTTGAACTCGCCTCCGTTGCGGTACCGTCTTCAGCTTCACATGCTGTGGGCTTATCATAGGAACCACCAGTCTCACCTTCGGCCCCTGAGCTTGCTGCACTTGCATCCGCCTTTTCTGCATCACAACTCTGTGGTGCCGCGGCTGCCGCGGCCGCTATTGCTACCGCAGCCGATCCCTTCTTTTCTTTCTTGACCGGAGACGCCATTAAGGACGAGTCATCATCTGAGAAACGCAGCATCACATCATCAATGTATTTCTTACGTTGAGTATTTCGGGACGAGCGTCGCTTATTTTTATCCGTTTCAGAGTCAGGTGGCGGTGATGGTGGTGGCGTGCTAGCCAATGTGTCGTCTTCCCCATCTGATTCGGGTACAATACGTCCGCGATTACGGCGCTTCTTAAGTGCACGTGCAGAAAGCGTGCATCTGCGGCGTGTTGTATAGGTGGCATCATCACTATTATTGCCACGATTGCGGCCGCCGGAACGTTTCTTGCTTCGTCGACTAGGTGTCGTCGTGGCATCGCCTGCAGAATCGGGTACTGAGTCAACAGTGTCATCACCAGCTTCTGTAGACTTTTCGTCATCCACGTTCGCGCGCGTTGTAGGTATTTTTGAAACTGGTATATCATCGTAATCAGGTGCTTCCCCGTCAATGTTAGTAGATTTGATTTCAGTACCAGGTTCGTCAGATGTTGTAGTTTCAGGTTTAATCGGGCTTTCGCTATTATCGCTCGTTGCATTACCACCTAACTCTGCAGCATTTGACTTACAAACCGAAAGTGGTTTGTTGTCCTCGGCTTCACTACCATCAGCAGCCTTTTCTTCCTCTTCGCCATTCTTCTTCTTTTTGGCACCATTTCGCCGACGTATTGAAGCAAGCGACTCACTACAGTTTTGCTCACCGTCTTTTACCTTTTTTGCCTTAGGAGTGCGATCACGCGGTGGTTTATTTGGATCTTTGGGTGCACGTGGCTTACGCGGTTTTTTTTTCTTGCCCGCATCGTCTGTAGATGTATCTAAGTCATTAGCCGAGTGCACAATATCTTGCGAGTGATCCCCACTTCCTTCATTATACTCTAAGGTTCCTACTACCGACTTGTCGCCAGCTCCTTGTGTTACACAGTCCTCGGAAACCGGCAAATGTGTAGTTGGAATCGCATGTGAGGGCACAATATTGCAACTTATGTCCATAATATCGCTGGAAGGCTGTTGTGCTTGTTGCGCAGCAGCTTTCTCGCCTTTCTTAGCACGTGGCTTACGTGGTTTAGTTGTGCCCTTTCCGCGACCGCGCCCGGTGGTGCTCGACACCTGCGGACTCTCCACCATCATTTGGCTGTGAAGCACACTGCTGCCATATATAGGAGGCATACCACCACTCTGGTACAGTATGCATTGCGGACCATTGCCTGCGCATTGGTCATTCACTTCATGTTGCTGCAGCATATTCAAGCGATCTTGCAGACGCACAATTTTCTCTTGGTGATCGGGCCCCGTCGGCGGCATGCAGTACATTTCTTGGAGTTGCTGCTGTAGAGCGGCAATTTCCTGTTGATGCACCATTGGATACGGGGGGTACATATGGCTAGCCGGCGGGACATGTTGAGCATATGGTGGCAACATCATTTGTGGAGTTCCATCATAACCCATAGCTGTCATACCCGGTGTGTTAGCCATGGGATGGTGTGGCAACAAATTTGGTGGTAACATCGGTGTAATATGTGTCTGGGATTGTGGCGGGGCATTAGATGTCGCTGTCGTAACGTTCTGTCCAACAGCCATCTGAGCCACGGAATCGACAAGAGTTGTTGGCACCGAGTGTTGTTGGGGTTGCAAATGAGTTTGCTGTGGCAAGGGGATCATTTGTTGCGACTCACTTTCTGTGGCAGACAGAGTCTCCTCGGAACACTTTGCTTGCTCCAGAATCGTATCTGATGAAGTGGTATCCGCCGGCTTAGTAGTTTCTTCGAGCATTCCGGCAGGTGAAGTGCTAGTTTTACCATCTACTGTTTCTTCAGCGATTGGCTTCATAACTTCGTCGGCTGGGTCATTTCCTTTGAACGCGTTGTCTATTGAATGTTCTGTGGATGCAATCTCAACTGCTCGCTGTTCCGGTGGTGTATCTCCCAAGTTACTTTTATTTTCTGGAGTCTGTTGCTGCAACTTACTGGAGCGATCGAAATCATTAACACACGCAGCGGCGCTAATGAATGAAGATTGTGAATTGCTGTCTAACATTGCTGCGGCTGCCGATGCGGCAGAGGACGCCGCTGCTATAGCAGCACTTGTTGACGACATTGAAGTATTGTCGAAAAGATTAGCTCCGGCGCTGTCTAGCAACCCGCCGTGTCCTGTTGTTGCTGAATTCGAATTGTTGTTCAGCACCGCATTACCGATACTGTCGATGCCTGACAATGATTGCTGCTGATGATTACTGCTGTTTATCGAGCTCTGTGAATTGCTATCATGAACAGAGGTTGGCTGGTTGTTAACGATACTGTTGGTGGAGCTATTACTACTGCTGTTATTGCTGTTATTACTGTCATTTGCTGCTACGGCCAACGTAGAAGAGTCGTTTGAATTTGCTGTCTCGTTAAGAATGCTTGTCAAATGATGTGAAGGAGTAGATGTCGGCGTTGATGTCGGCGTTGGTGGCTGCTGTGGCGGCTGCTGTGGCGGCTGCTGCTCCTGGATCGACAGTGACTGATGCTGCGGTTGTTGTGCGACAACATTCGGAGTAGAAGCTAATGGTGGCGAAACATGTGCAGGTGACATAACCGATTGCGATGATGGTTGTTGTAGATCACGCTGCTGCAACTGCGCTGTCTGCTGCTGCAGGATTAAAGATTGTTGTTGTGACTGTGACTGTGGTTGTGGCGTCTGTGTTAGCGAGGATTGTGACTCCAATTGCGAAGTCTGTTGTTGTATACCTGGCTGCAGACCTGTCGAAGGATCTTGTGTAGCCGTTAGCATTGCAGCAAACGGATCTCCGAGCAATTGTTGGCCGTGTTGTTGTGGATATGGTTGATGCAATTGTTGCTGCTGAGTGGGTGGATTGTGTGGTGACAATTGTTGGTGACGTCTCGGTGATTGCTGTTGGAGCATGGACTGTTGAAGGGGCGACTGTTGTTGTTGAAGGGGCGACTGTTGTTGTTGATGGGGTGAAGGTTGCTGTTGTAGCTGTGACTGGACATGAGATGGTTGGTGCGCTTGCGAAGTCGGTACAACGCCAACTGTAGGATCATGGGTTGGTGTGTTTCTGCTCATAAGCGAGGCAGTTGTATGATCGGTAGAGGGCGGCAACTGATGGTGACCCATATGGTGGACGTTCGGCAAACCAGGTGGTTGATGGTGCAGTTGCTGTGGCTGATTCTGCTGATGCGAAGATGGTGGCGCCTGTTGGTGCTGCTGTTGTTGTGTATTTATCGGTGACATTGCTGGCAATTGTTGTTGTTGATGATGCTGTTGCTGTTGGCCACCACCTACAATGTCATTAATGGAATGTTGCAATTGATCGTTCAATTGCTGATGCTGTGATTGTGGTTGTGGCACTGGCGTTTGCTGTTGTGGTGGAGGTGGTTGCTGTTGAGGCGCTCCGATAGGCGATGGGTGTCCAGCTGCTTGCTGTTGGTGAGTCATCCCTTGTACCTGTGCGTACAAATTCATTTGTTGTTGTTGGTGCTGTAACTGCGGCTGTGAACTCATGACACTACTTACACTGAGGGGAGTGGGGTTTTGTGACTGAGGCAAGCTCAAGTGAGGACTCCATTGCAGGTGATGCTGAGGTGAAACCGGCATGCGTGGTCCCATCGGTGACATCGCGGCGTGACTAGGTGTCTGGCGATACGCCGACGGATAGTCCATTGGTACACCCCCAGGACCGGCCATAACGCCCTGCGGTGGCATAACCATCTGTTCGAGTGCCTGCAGTGTGTTGACTACTGGCGGACCACCGCCAGCTTTTGAGCTTGGTGATCCTGTATTTGGTACTTGTGGACGTGGCGAAGTAAGGCCAACCATACCCGATATGCTGTGATGAGTCGATTGTTGCTGGCTTGGTGGATTCACTTGTTGTTGAGCTTGCGCTTGCGGCTGTGGCGGTGGCTTTGCCGGCGAGATGCCAGGCCGCGGCGACATTTGTGGATGTGGTGACATTGTTATTGGTATAGGTGACATTTGTGGCGAAAGCTGCGGAAATGGAGCACGGTACTGCGGCGATGATGATAATTGTGATGAAGTGGTCTGATGTTTTGGTGAGGATAAGTACGAAGCTGCTGCTGATTGTACGCCTTGTACATTGTTTGGCTGCTGTTGATTCTGTTGTTGCTGCTGCTGCTGTTGCTGATGATGACTACTATAGCTTGGTGGCACCCCTAAGGTGTGCGGTGGTGGTAACACAGCCCCCGGCAATTGCTGATGCTGGCTTGGTGGTTGTATTAGACCAACATGATTTGGTTGCTGTTGTTGCTGAGACTGCTGTTGGATCTGTTGCGGCTGTTGTTGGTTCTGCATAATATGCGTAGTGGACTGCTGCTGCTGAGCCGCGCCCAGGCTGGAGGGTAAAGATGGCTGGCTTACAACATTGTTGCTGCTATGTGGTAAGCCTGTGGAAGGCTGCTGCTGTTGCTGTTGACTGCCCGGACCCATATGCACGCCTAACTGCCCAGCCTGCTGCTGCTGCGCAGTTAAGTGATGCGTTGGTACGCTGGTCGGTGCAGCAGACGTTGGGACATGTTGGCCGTACTGATTTGTCTGATCCAAGTGTCCGTATGGAATATGCTGAACAGCACGACCTGACTGGTGCTGCATGGAATTTCCATATGGACTATGCGTATAGGCTTGGGGACCACCTGGTACGGAAACAGACGAGCCTGTCTGGCCGGTAGAAGTCGGTACAACTGGATATAGTGGATGCTGAGTCGGAGCCTGAGGATAGTGTTGCGGCAGCCGAGTTTGCTGATTCGGTTGCTGCTGCTGCTGCGATGTAGTAGCCTGTTGTTGCTGCGGTTGCTGAGCTTGTGTCAAAGTGCCGTAACCTGCAGAACCAACACTTGTGCCGGGTTGCTGCAGCAAACTACCGATTCCCATTTGCTGGGAAGCATAAGACAGCTTCTGTTGATCCTGTTGGCCGTAGGAGGGCATGTGCTGACGATAGCTGAAATTATACAAATTTTGATTACTTACTTTAATGTTTTATATTTATACGAGCCCTATTTGCGATTATATCGTAAGCTACAAATTATCGACATTTTTACTGTTGCAAATAGTTTACAAAAACGAGTCACAACGTCCTACAAAATCAATATGTACCGTTAAGAAAAAAAAAGTGGAATTGTATCGTTAGTTTTGTTTATACTTTTGCGTACCTACGCTCTTATCGTAAGCGACACTGTGTGCATAGAACTTCATCGTAAACAGCAGTTTTAACTGTAGTTTTAACCAAGGTTCCACAATAAAAATCTTAAAAGCAGCTTCTGTCCCTCATCAAAATTAAATGCAGTTTACCATTATGGAACTGCCGGTGCGAACACTGAAGATTGTACTCCTTGAAGATTTTGGCAATGAACCTATTCCGATGAAGGATTAAATTTTACTTTTTTTCTAATTTCTTTAAAAACCTCAAAACGCCAATATGGTTTTTTGTTTGAGAATTGAATTAAGTTTAACACTGCATCTACGAAGACAACTTGTTGCAGAAGGTTTATTTCAGTGAATAGGGACCAGTTTTTTACGTCTGTCAAGTTAGCACTACACTTTTCGAAATTGGAAAAGTTGACCACGGCATTAATTGTAGGTTTTAACTTGTAAATTTGTTACGAAAAGAAAAAAATCTTAGCTCTCCTTTTTTTAAATAATAGGCTCTCTTTAAGCTACTATTATGCCAAAAAATATAAACAAGCGATTCGAAATTCATACAAAATTTTTCAATTTGACTTTATTGGATGGTTCTTCGAGCAATGTCAAATTCAATCACACTTTGTTGAATACATTTTGGTAGCAAGGCATAACAAGGTAGAAATGATTTCGACATTTCTCTCTTTGGAACTGCGACTGAAATGACAACTCTTAACCCTATACCATTCAAAATTTAAATTTTTTTTTATTTAAATTTTCAATTGTGAGCAGTGCGGCTGATTTTAAATACATACTAAAATAAAAGGAATTACGGGCGGTGTTTTGTGTTTGGCAAGAGCCAGGACAACAAACTTGTGCGTTATTTTAAACCTCTGAATTGTCAAGTGAAGCGACAACGTTGGGCAAATTGTTGCGGATGCTTTCCATTTCCAGACAACCGGTCAGGTACGAGCATGATTTTTAATTTCGACCAAACTCAAATACATTGTTTGTTGGTCCAAATAATGAGACACGTATTTTTTCTTTTGGCTCGGAAAAATTTTTCGGCCGAATTAAGCGCGATTTTGTTTTTCAGGCAAAAATCGATTATTCGAATTGGCAGTGAGATTAAAAAAAAGCGGGAAAATGTGATTTTGTATTTCGAAACTGTATGGTGGAAAGTGTGTTCTAATATCTATTTGATACACAAAAAATGATCACGGCTGTACTTTTTGCTGATATATTACATACATATGTTCCATTTAGTTAAACAATATAAGAATATTGTAGTATGTACCACAAAAACGTATATTTTCTATAAAAAATCATAACTCAGAAAAAAAAAATTCGCTATTAGAGATTTGGGTTGATTGTAATTCAAAGTGTCTCTTTCCCGATAAAAAAGTTTGAGAGAAAAAAAATACACTTTTTGAGAAATTAAATTTAAAAAAAAATTGCAATTTTTGTTTATTGTTAAATAATGAAAATCAATAATTATATCATTCTATCTTGAAGTGACAAGAATTACTGACATTTGAGTAAAAACATTGTTGGAATCTATTAAATTTTGACAAAGTTATGGGCATTTAAAAAAAAAATTCTCACTGTCAATTCGAATAATCGATTTTTGCCTGAAAAACAAAATCGCGTTTAATTCGGCCGAAAAATTTTTCCGAGCCAAAAGAAAAAATACGTGTATCATTATTTGGACCAACAAACAATGTATTTTAGTTTGGTCGAAATTAAAAATCATGCTCGTACCTGACCGGTTGTCTGGAAATGGAAAGCATCTGCGATATTTCATTAGGAGACTTCACGTGTGCGCGAAAACCATTTTAGTGGCAGAGACTTTATTTGT